GATGTAGCCAACCGACGCCGCCCGAAACGGCTCGGGCTTGACGCTGGGAAGACTCGACGTGCGTCGCAAATAGAGCACGCAGTGCACTGCGCGAGTCAGGAACTTGCAGTAGCCTGTACACATTCCGGAATCCCGGAAGTGCTCACGACCCCCGGCGCCATGTTACCTGAGTGCTTCCAGAGCGGGACAAGCGTGATCGCTGCGGCTGGCCCCACTCACCGGCCTGGCTGCCAAGTGCATCACCCTTTGAACCTTCTCTAGATGGCACACGACCGCACAGATGACACACGATGGCACTCGACCGCACCATCCCATACAGACAAGCAGAAGAGGATGTGGGAGAGACGGGACTTTAGACGAAGAGCTTCAGAGCCTCAGGAGTGAGTGGAGACAAGTTTTGGGCAGGGATGCAAGGATTGCATCACTGTGACGAGTGAGGAGATTTAGGATCCCCTGTGAAGTCCTGGCCAGGAGAACGCACAATACCTTCACTGAAGACCATCGATGGATGTCTGTGCCAGAGATGGCAATGCGGAAGCTCCCGGTCTTTTATGTAGGTTTCGGTGCCAATCAGCTTCAAGTCCGTCTTCTGGGCTTCATTTTAATTCTGTTTAGCTTACTCAGTTTTAAAGGCACTGAGTGAACTCCTCGAGGCGGGCTTGCAGGTTGGAAAGGCCGTCAACATCAGAGGTGACCGTCAACAATGAGTTGGGTGTCACCGGCGTGGGATAGTAGGTTGCCGTGGGGAAGGATGCTCCATAGGACGTTGATGAGGATGAAAGACAGGGACAAGGAATCATTGGGCCGCCTTTTGGGATAGGGATACAGTGATCGAGCCACCAATGACCACCTGCTTCCGACCGTTCAGATAGCCCGAAACCACCTTCATCGTGCACCAGGTCAGTTCACTGCGTTGGCATCATCACCTCCGCCATACCCGAGGTAATATGTGCCATACTTGTGGCCATCCCAGCCATGCCCATACAGATCTCACTGCGGCGCTCCCCAGCTCATGCGAACTCGAGAGGCGTACAGCTGTTTAAGGGTCAGCAGAGTCGTCTCCGAAGATGGCGCCTCCCGAACTAAAGCACCCTTAGAATTCTAAACGACCTTGGCCAAGGGCACTCTCGCTGAAGAGAAAATATTATTGGATTCGGCTTTGAGATTGGTCTTGTTTGGAACGAAATCAACATCGATACGCTCGGCACGGATATGAAATCGTGGTCAGCGATGATGTCCTAGATCCGAGTCAATTTGGTCAAGGTAAATCGTGGCCGTCATGCTCGTTTCAACCACATCTCCTACGTGTCGTGGCCGTCGTGCTCGTTTCAACCACATCACCTACGTGTCGTTCACATGAGTCCGGCGTATGCCAGGAGGCCAGGACAGGAGCGACAACAAATCATAGTTTAGCTGCAAAGCCTGAAAATACTTCCTTGAGTCAATTGCACGCGGTTTCACTTTTGGTGTTCTCGTGGTTTCGGGATCGCTGACTCTGGGTTCGAGCCCTGGTAACCGCTGGACTGCGTTCCCAAGCATTTCCAGCCGCTGTGAAGGGTCTATGACGGTGCTAATGACCGGAGCAGCAGCCAGTCAATGCGTCGTAAAGCCTTGCATCTCGTAGATACTCTGGTAAAACCTCAACATTTTCAGCCAGGTAATCAGGTGACCAAACTAAGCAAAGAGAGATGGCTTGTGAACACCCGCATGACGTCGTACCAAAACTATGGAGGTTTCAGCCCGGGCTGCATGAAATGCATGCAGGTTAGGTGTCTTCTGCCTACCCAAAAATGATAATGATGATCAGACAACGTGGATGGCGACTTTTCCGGCACGGTTCGCTGCCTGTCTGGAGCGTGACGCATGCCGCAGCTGCAGTACGCTGGCCGGTGCTCTCACCTCTTTACTGCAGTTTGGTGCAACATCGGAACTTCCGGTCCGCTGTTTGAACAGGCCCAGGGTGTGTAGTCAAAACCAAAATCATCCTTCGATTTTGGCCATAGTGAAGCTTGGTGTAACGCATGTGTGGCAATATCATTTGTCACTGGCTTTTTATAAATAAAATTGATCGTCGCAAAAAGACGATTTCGTGTGTGGTTTTGGCACGTGCATACAAGATGGCTGCTGGACGCCATGATGTCTAGATCGCGTTCAATTCTTTCGATTCACCTCGGTAGACAGCTGTCTCCAATGCGTCCTAGACTCGCTGCTCTGATTTAAATTTATGTTCTTCTGCACTGTCCAATCCTTGCCTGACCTTAAGTAGTCCTTCACTGTAGCAGGCATCCGACGAAAATAACAAATGCCTGTATTCTATCTCCCACCCTCCAATACAGTAACGTTTAACGGATATTCGGAAGTCTCTGTTCTGAGATGACACATATATTACATCTTCATTGCATGGCTGCATTAAATTTTTCGCAGGAGCCCGTTGTCTTTTGTGGCTCTCTGCCAAAATTTCCTGGAAATATCACAAGGCGAAGGGAAAACTCCAATGAAAAGCAAAGGCACTGGATGAAGCGAGAGGGCCTCTAGCAGCCTCACAAGTTTGACCCCCGTTAAAAATTTGAACCAAAAATAAAACTTATCCTTACCTTAGAAAATAACCGTTTTCCGGCAGCTCCAATGTCTTTATCGGGCGTTTTTTAGTGATACCGGACCTTTCTCACCCCATGTCGTCTTTGATGCATTAAAGGGAGTGTTTTCTATTTCAAGATATTGAAGCAAGCATCGGATATGATGAAATAGGCTCAGTTATAAATCTTGGTATACTTTTGAACCAAAAAGACCGCTCTGATCTGGAAGGGCTACGACCAGCACCGAATGCTCTTCAATATGGATGTTTCAGTTCAAAACCCGATACAAATGTGAAAACTTCCTTGATCCCACAATTCCTCAGAAGATAGGGGTGAATTGCCCTCATTCGATTTCGGCAATAACTTCCGAACCGTTCCTACTAGATTCACCAGATTTATGGCATCTGACAACTGATTTTTCTGACACATTCCTGAGTTGGAAGATTAACGAGCTCGGGTCAGTTCAGCTTATGGTATCCTCCATTATTACATCTGCAAGCCGCCAAGAATCCAAGAATCAGGAATAAGACCTAGTTCGAAGCAATGATCTGCTTGGACTATGCTGACAGCATACCCTATTGGGCCATGCGTTTTCCCGCAGGCCTTGCACACCTTGCACCTCAGAATAGGTATTCATTGGGGGGGTGGGGGGGGGGGGGGCATGCATGACTCCAGTCATCATACCAGGGCATTGTGATGAGCTTCGCACACAGCAGACGGCAGCGCAAAATTCGTTAAAATCTCCGAAATTCGGACATGTTTTGACAACGATGCACATTTGCCACCTCCCTGAGGAACATCTCGGATACGTGCCTGAGCTGATGTACATGAGAACAACATAGCCCTTACAATACATGATTTCCTGTATGCAACGACTCCTAGCAGACCCGGACCCGATGTCAGACGCCTCGTTTTAGATGGCATCTGAGGCCGACAATGACCCCCAGCAGGCCTCAGTCGCGGCGGTGACCCCTGAGGTCAGCACTCCTGCTCCGCAGGCCCCGCCAAACGAGAAGCAGGTCAGTCGATGCGTCAGTCTCCTGCCCCAGTAGTCACAATTTCAAGAGTAACCCTACGACGCAACTGATTTGCTGCTGTTTCGATTATTAGCACTGTCAGCCTTTGCAACCGGCGGCGAACGGTTACTGGTGGCGGCTGAAAAATCCAGCGGGTTGCAGAAATCCACGGGTCGGAATCCCTGGAGGCCGCGAAAGCTGGGGCTTGCTCTCTCACGCAAGATTGCCCGCAAGCGGGTAAGATGTCGATGGTGGCGCCCCTGGCGTGGAGCAGACGCAACTGCTAAACGGTGTTTCACCAGTATGAACGTTGTAAGGCCTGGACTCGTTACGGTAAATACGCTTTAATTACTATAGCATCACATCCTAGATTCGCGCAAATCATTAAAAAAACAGCGTGCTCTTTAGCAATAAGATTTAACAGACAATTGAATTTACCCCGGTCGATGATTCGATGCAACCTATTCTAATGCAAAAATATCCCTCATTCTTAATCTATCTTCGCTGTTTATTATTCTCGAAGGCTGCATATTTGCTTTACAAAAATTATGAACCAGACACACTTAAAGATTCACATGCCGAAATCCACAACGGCCACATTGGCTACGGTGTCAGCTACAAGTCAATGTCATAGCGCCACACTAAGTGCTCTGGTGCCATGGCTCGCTGCAATGAAAGACGCCCTGCCAAAATCCCACCAATCGTTGTCGGGGTGTGAGGCAACATAGTCTTCGCAAGAAAATACTCGACGATAAAACTCCTCTGATAGGGAAGTTCTATACTGTCTAACTCGCACTGTAAGAGCCCACCACGAACTTTCGCTGACTGCACACACACATATGTCGCACGCTGCACAGTGAGCTAATTGTCAGGCATAGCGGTTTGGCCTTCTGTTGGAGAGAACTAAGTGTGCAGGAACCTGACGATAAGGCCCATAGTGCGCCACAGTATGCTGTTTTTCACTACCTCATGCCTCAGTTTTTCTCATCGAAAGCTAATTCAAACCAGCTGTCGGTTTGAAATTGTAAAGTTCTCTTGCACAGTTGTTAAATGTCCAGAAGAATTCCACCAGGACATTCCCAATGAACGCCTTTTCATAACGAAAGACCACCTTCTAGAACACTGCTGAGGAGTCTACCACAGCACAAGCTTCGGACGACACCACACCGGCACCCGTAGAGACCGAGCAAGTGCCGGCAGAGCCTACACCAGTACCAGAAGAGCCTCCATCAGAACCAGTGGGGCCGACACCAGCATCGGAGAACGGCATAGCAGAAGCGGAGAAATCAGCGCCGGCGCCAGAGGATAGCGCAGACGTGCCAATTCCACCGACACCAGTATCGGTGGAGGCTGCCTCAGCAGCAGAAGAACCGACATTCGCACCGGTAGAACCTGTGCCGGAAAACAGTAGACCCGATATCGTCGGGAGCAGACGAAAAGCCACCGGCACCAGCTGAGCCTATTACACCGCTGGAAACAACAGCAACACCGGAAGCGCCCTCACCAATATCGGATGCTTTGACCGAGGCACCAGTGCCAGCAGAGTCGGAAACAGCAGCGGAGACATCAACTGTAATAGGGGAAGAGACGTCGGCCGCAGAGAACCAACCACTGAAAGCTGCCGAGCCCGCACCAACTCCGGTGGAGCAAACACCGGCAGCAGTAGAACTAACGCCGGCACCAGTAGAACAAACGGCAGAGCCGCCCCCGGCCGAATCCGAACCTTCTGTCGTAGCAGCGACCCCATCATCGGCAGCACCGGAGGTGACGTCATCCCAGCTGGCATCCCCTACAGCGGAAGGGATGGCCGCGGCCCAGCCCCCGAGCATACCGGCACCGGCCGCCCCAGTGACTTCTGAGGACCAGGTGGACCCGCCGTCGGCCCAGTCGACCAATGGGCAGGCGGCACCAACGGATGCAGCCAATCCCGTGCGAGGTGAGTGTCGCACGTGCATGCACACTAGCTGATTCTGGCACGTGCATGCGCACTGGCGGAAGATGCAGAGAGTAAATCCTGGATTTACGGGAATTATTGCATATTCTCTTGCTTTACACGCAACGTAGCTGGACAATGCAGACAATATTTGCCTTCCCCAGTCTGTCTGGCGTTGCTACAGGTAGGTGTCAATGCTTTGCCATTGTTTGTTTCCCAATGTCAAAGCATGTCCCACAAAATACATGGTGCTGCGGAATAGGTCAGCAATCGTAAGTGAAAGGCATCATTGCTGTTTTCTGTTCGCATGACGCGCTAGATTGCTATGGTTGTCGGTAGACTATTTTCTCGTCAGCATCTTTTACCGACGTCATGGATTTTTCCGGATTACCATGCATGCAGGCGTGCCACAGATTGAGCTGGGGTGGCATACTTTTCGAGGTTCCTCCTGCGCAAGATGGGGACTCCTCACGGGATGTGAAACTGCTGATCAGCGTCGTATTCAAGAGGAGACCTTATAAAAGTCCCCCGTATAAAGTTTGTATTATGCGCATTATAGGCATGTGAACCATCGTTGAAATTTGTGAGATCCGGAACAGGGGGCTTCTGATTAATGCAGGGGATTTCCGACTCGTCAAAGGGCCTTTCAATCGAAAGGCAGTGTCCTCTGTTTCATAAATATGAAGCATGGAGGAGCCCGCTAATACAGGATAGGACCTTATAAGTTCACAAAAGGGACTCCAAATCAGGCGAAGGGACGCATTATCGCAAAACAGGGCATTCTGATGGGATGCAGCAGCCTTCTGGCACATAAGAGAGAGCCTCCTAGCCTACAACAGGGGCCTCTTCATATAAAGAGGGTGCCCTCTAATCCAAAACAGGGACTCTTGATGCATGGCAAAGGGGCTTCACCACGGGTGTCGATTTGTATTATTTTGTGAGGGCCGTGTCTGTAATTTCCCAATGCTGAGCCGTCCCCCCTCCCATTTTGGTTTGGACCCCACGCCACCAACGTTTTGGGCTGGAATATTACAAACATCGAGGAAAGAGCTGACCATTTCACAAAGACGATCTTCTCTGATCCTTCCTGTTAGTGGCGTCACCATGTGGGGTAGCTTGAAGCCACGGCTTGAATTTCATTTCCTCAATTGAGGAGTAACTTTAGACATTGGGGCACACCATTTTACTATTCGACTTTTTTGTCCATAAAATGTAAGCCCAAACGTTCTTGCCCGCAGCTAAACATAATATTGACGCCACTGATCCTTGGTTGTTGGACCTCATAGACAACACAATCATGTCTCAATATTTTGACGCGGCATTGAGAGTGCAGATTATGGTTCCTGTTCAGTCGCAGAATGAAACCCAATACAGAAACCGAATATTTGGCTGAGACAGATCTTAAGCCTATCTCCGTCGTGACCATCATTCATTGCTAGCACTCTTCCACCGCCATCCCATTATTGTAACGCATCTTCACAGATCTATTTTGCCTCGGCCCCTGATTCAAATAACACGATCAAGACTTCACCGTGTCATGCGACAACCAGACTGTCGCCTGCATGGTAACCAGGCTGATACAACCAAGCCAGCGGCTAAATGGCCCTCGTTGGCGAGCCATATATGAACACTTATTCTGGCAGGTGAACTTACCACTACTCGTTTCGCCGCACCACGACTGTGGCCATTGCGGCTTCAGCGCTGTATTAAAGTTGGACGCCGCCGCGGCGAGCGCTGTCTCTGCGCGGCAGGACACGTCCGTTTCGCGAGTGTTTAACGCACTGCGGCCAACGGGCCCGCTTCCATAGTGATGGATGTAGCTTACTTGTTAACAAACTTTTTCCTTTAAAGATGTTGCCTGCGACACGAAACGCAGTCACCCTTGATTAACACGCGCTCGGGCGGGGGATCAAATTGACCCCCCCCCCCCCGAAGGTTTTCCCGGAATAGGTTCCGAACGGCGCGGTGTAGCCGCGCCAAATTTTGCGGAGCTGTAGAAAACTGAATAGCGGACTGTCTGACATAAAAATATAGATGTACCTTATAAGTTCGCTAACCTACGGAAGTGGCCACCGGAAACGACGACGTTTGTCAGCTGTCGCTAGCATGGTTATCAGACGGATGGCGATAAAGTGAACACAAAAATGACCTATGGTAGGTAAAAATCAGGTCATGGTGTCAGTGAAGGCATATTCTAAGGGATCGTTCAAGCCTATCAAACAATGGAGTGTTAGACGAAGCGGTACATCTCTGAGATACTTTCTTAGGCAACATAACAATTGAATAAACAAATAGCATTGACCTAGGGCCAGGCATGAAGGTCAGACCAAGGTCAAAGTCAACCTGTTTTAATACTCACCGGCTTGCTGCATGGGCTGGTTTCTGGTGCTCATTTCGAATATATTAGTAGCAGTTGCTGCATTGTACACCTTCCATGGACTTCTGATAGGTCTGAAGAGGTCACTTACCTAAAATAACCCAGGTCAACATTTTGTTTTTATGCTGCCTGGAGTAATCTTTGTGTCTTATCCAAACGCATAACTCAAGGCAGTCTTTTATAATATTTTGGTAATCATGACCTTTGAAAGGTCAAACAAGATCAATGACCTTAACTCAGCGCGTGACAGTTTGCTTAGAACAGTCGCCTAGGCCTTAGAGGCCCTCTGCAGACCATTCTGAAAGTTGACCTTGTTTGACCTTATCTTACCCGAAGGTCATGGCCTAGAAACCTCAAACTTTGACCTAAGTGAGTTTATGTACAGGCCAACACACCCTGTGAGTTTACTTTTTCTAGCTCTTTTAGTTCCCGAGATCTCAGGGAGGTCAAATTGACCCCCCTCCACCCGAGCGAAGGGTATCCAACCAGCCACCCGGGCGCGTGTTAAACTCGAGTAAATACATGACACCATCAATTGGAACAGCGGCATCGTTTTCAACAGCCTTGCGCTCTTCGGGACAATATTAGGAGGAAGTTTCTGCTTCTTCTAGAATCGTGTGGCCCATTTGTTTTTGAACATGCATGTAGCTACGCTCTTTTACCATTTTAGCTGGTTCAACGATTCGGGATTAACTCAGGCTTATAAGCTGCAAGAGTCTCAGGTTTCGGGTGCATCCGTGTGTCCGGGAGATAATGGTGCTATCTAATCATACGCAGTCCTATGCCTTTCGGTCAAACAAATTTTTCTGCTGTTTATTTTGTTCTGCGGATGAAGAACTAAGCCGCTTGAATTGAAATGGCTGACATGGTACGACATACATTTATTCAATGGAAATTTACGCGCACTTCGGGCAGCGCACCAACGATTTAATAATGAGCATTCATCTAACGGTCTATTAATAGCGCATGTATTTCCACTCCACTATTAAAACATACCCATCCTCGCCGTCGCATTTGCAGCGTATTTTAACGTACCCAATGAAACCAGTTTGCTTTGAGCCCCAGTCACACACAACTATTAGTCAATGTAAATTGTTCCTTATTAACTGTTGAACAGACTAGAGTACTGTTGAGCATTGCTGATTTTGATTATATTGTTGATAACAGCTGCTCATCTCATGGCATAGTTGAATCGAAAAAGTGGTGCGACGCCAAATTCAGGCCAAAATTCTCGTGCACAGCTCACGAATCACGCCAAGATGGTGACTTAGGTGGAACAGCATTTTACACGGGAGGCGCTGCGATCTAAGTCCAAGAATAAAGAATAACATTGGAATAGATTGTGTAATTTGACCAAAAGGATCGGTCCCCAAACAACATAAATGGACCCGCATATGTAGCTGGATGTTTGCCGGCCCATAGAAACAAAACATATGTTTGCCGTATAAAGCAATGCACGTACCAACAATTAAACATTCCCTATCTTCTTAATACAACGTCGTATTTGCTCTCACCGCCAGATAATACATAACAGCTGAGCGCATAAACGGTGCAATACATTGCATAAAGCCAAGACCACAACACATGTAAAGATCTGGGAGGTTACCATGAAAAACTCCGAGGTACAGAAATGACCAGTGTTCTTCATGACAAGCCCTGACTCCGTGCCCCACGACCAAAATGCGTGCCACCACCCACGGCCAACCTAAAAGTGTACCTTCGGCGCCCTAAGGCGGAAGGTGCACGTGCCTCCAGTACCCCTCCCCCCCCCCACCCTCCTCCCTCTTGTTTCGTCCCTGCATGACTGCTATGAAGCTTGAATTAAAGACTATTTTTAAGTGATGTGTGTGATGTGTAATGTTATGTGTGATGTGATGTGACATCATCATTGTGATGTGATGTGATGTGACAGTGATGACATCTTCAAGTTGGGCATAAGAGGCCTCTCAAAACCTTTGAAGGGCGAAAATATGCTATCGCTTCTGCAGCCCCTCCCCCCTCCCCCGCACTCCCTGCTTGTATGCGTCTGATTCAATAGCCGTCAATCGTTTCAAAGTAAGCCAACGCTCTTTTCAGCGGCATCCCTTTCATTACTTTTGAGTCGTGGTGTAGTAACGCCCCTTTATGATATGTTCGAATCAAAAATCATTTGGTCGCAATTAATCAGTCGTATTCACCCCGATTGGCGTTATACCTGCGCACTTCGTCGTCTTCTCCAGGCAACAATGCAGCCTCTTAGCACCATTGAGCATACCGCCGTTAAAAAATAACGCAATTCTAGCTATCGGCATCTTCGCGAGGATGACATAACTTTGCAGCATACGCATGACAACGGCCAAATCACAACATCCGCCTCCACAAACATGCAACTAAAAAAAGAACAAATCCGCCCCATCACATCGACTGTCCTGCTGGCACCGGTCGCTGGCCCGCGAGCGCGACCGAGCACGGCCTCCCCGTCCCTGACCGGTGGCTGCAGCGCCACGTGTCCCGCTCTCCCGGCTCAGCCAGATCAGAGCCGGTGTGCCGGATATCTGAGCTGTGACCGGTCGACGCAGGATGTGGTGGAGCCACGGCGGCGGCGGCGGTGCCGACGTCGGCACGTGCAGGTCGACGACCGACCCGCCGCCGACGGGAAGATTGGCCGGGGTGACGGTGTTCGCCCTTATTGTCGTCCATCTTCCGCTCCGTCAGCAGTGGCGTGCTCTGAGGGGTGGGAGATATGGGGTCCCCTCCCCTCCTTGTGCAGAAAGGGCACCAAGATCTTGTGGGAACTCTTTCCCAAATTGTGGCACCAAAATGATCGGTCCCAAGACACGTAACTTCTATTTTATTTTCTTCTTTTTCATTCTATTCTGTTAGCTTCTATTTTTAAAACACATAAAAGCTCAAGGGTACCACAAATGGCCCACCTATAGTTCTCAACGGACACCAACTTTCAGGAGAACAACAATGTTGTGAATACCACTCTGACGAAATCCTGGATCGGTCACTTGAGCGAGGGACACTAAAACCTTCGTTTCGGGCACCATAGCCTTCATCTTCAAGGACGGGATGCCAAAGAGCCCAATATCTTTATTTTAAGGGGTGACTGGAAATCAGTGGCACCATCGTTCCTGTGCATTTCAACCTGGCGAAACTCTGGCTCGGCCCATTCCACGAAGGGGCACCAACAGCGTTCATTTCGGGGATCGGGAGCTTTATTTGCCAGAGGTACCCAACACCAGGTGGCGCCATAAAGGGCCCCAAAAACTTTCATTCCCAAGCGATGCCAAATGTCAGGGGGCGCCACAGTGTCACGCCGCTCCAATGACGAAATCCCGGGTCGGCCCATTCGGCGAGGGTGCACCAAAACCCTCATTTTGAGGCACTGTAATTCACAACATCTATTTTCTAGGGGCACCAAATTCAAGCGGGCCATGCGAAGGGCGCCAACACCTGCATTATCAGGGGTCAGCAAAGTACACAGGCACCTCAAGTTTTTTGCCTTTCATCCTGACGACATCTCGGATGGACCGCTTCGGCGTAACTCTTCCCGGATCGGCCGCTTCGGCATAACTCTTCCCGGATCGGCCGCTTCGGCGTAACTTTTCTCGGATGGACCGCTTTGGCGTAGCTTTTCTCGGATGGACCGCTTCGGTGAAAAGATTCTGGGGTCGGCCGCGGCACTGAAAACCTTCTTTTCGAGGTATCATAACCTATATTTTTAGCAGACACCCGATGTCAGGGAGCAAACAGAGAGCACTGAATCAAGAGGACAATAATGGGACACTACGATGTCCATGTACCACACTGCAATGTCCATGTACCACACTGCAATGTCCATGTACCACACTGCAATGTCCATGTACCACACTGCAATGTCCATGTACCACCATTGGCGGAACCCTGGACTTGCCCATATGGTGAGGGTCACCAAAACATCCACTTTGGAGCACCATAATGAAGGGCACCAAATCCCAAGGTCATTCAAAGGATCCAAAAAGCTTCCCTTTCAGGGCGCACAAAAATTCAGAGGCTCCCCAACTTGCGCATCTTCCACCGTGACGAAGCCTTAGATTAGTCGCTTTAGTGAATGGATGCTAAAATTTTTGTTTCAGGCCATCAGAACCTTAATTTGCAAGAAACATCCAACTCCAGGCAGCAGCACAAATGAACCCAAAACTATATTTTCGCGAGAGACCAAGAGTGCCGCCATCATGGGTGCACGTGGCGTGGAAGGGGTAAAAAGGTATATGCCCCCTTAGGCCTTTGCATAATGCATAATGAGGTGTATGATAAGGTGTATATTTATATTTTCTATCAGGTTTTGGCTCCTTGTTCAGTCAGAGCGGTTCGGCATAAACCATAATAGACGAAAATTGACCTCTCAAGATAAAGCTGGCTGGATTCGGGGCAGGGGCGGATCCAGCCTAGAGTTGTTGTTTTTTTTGGGGGGGGAGGGCAACCGTTCGTCGCCAGCTGGCTGGAGTGGGATCCGAGGTCCAGTGCATTTATCAAACACGATGTCTGCGCCGAGTATGACTAAGCCGCGTCAACATGCGCTTTGTTTTGATACTCAAATCGCTGCCAACTTTTCTTCATAGAGTTTTTTCCGAAACGGAAAGAACTGTTTGATACCGCACCATCAAAGTTAAACAAACGGTAAGTAGACGAAACTTTTATGAAGTTCTGGGAATGTTTTGGGGGGCCAAAACATACTCTCAGAGTTTTTTGGCGGGGCCATGGCCCCGTGACCCCCCCCCCCCCCCCAGAATCCGCCTATGATTCGGGGATCATTTCTTGTTAATGATTCGGCGTGAAGATTGGATTCCCTACTGCCTTCCCGCTGGCAGGGCCCGCTGTTAACCACGGTGCCTTTTTCTTACCGAGATTCTGGCTGCGCCCCATGACCTCCGTGTCTATAGCATCCTGGCTATCAGTCCGGGTCAGCGGAGTTAATGGAGACGGGTCGTTTCCCCTTAACCCTGCATCACACTCCTTTATTTCCGTGCTGTAGAATGGCTCGTTATAAAAAGTTAGAAATAGCATGCATTTTCATTGGACAATACCCACACTGAGCTACATCGCCGTTGCGCAGATGTAGGTGTAAGGCAAGCCATTTGTGCGTGTTAACAGTTGAATATGTCCGTAAGGGGCACCAAAGTGAAGAGGGACCATCAAGAGTTCCATCAAGGGAGGGTCTCCCTTGATGGAGTCCTGAGCCCGCCCCTTTCTGCCACGGCACCTCTCCATCGAACTGCTAGGCTGTCGATCTGATATGTCTGGCTATGTGTTTCCCCCTGTTCCTCGTTTGTTTCCGTTCTGAGCTTCCGTCATGCTTTTTAAAGCAAGCATGGAACTGGTTGTACGATGCGGCCCGTAGTAGGGACATATCCAAGGGCATGGCTGACAAAGGGGCCATGCCCTCCCTCGAGCCAAGAGGTAAGATGCTGAGCAATATCGCAGGAATGTGGTCCAAGCTCACAGGAGTTCGGAGAACATTTGACATTCAGTCTCCCTCGCCCTGAGAACAATTCTGGCTGTGTGCTGGCTTACACAGATATCCTGCTAATGTCATGGATCATTAGCTCTTGCCGATGAGTAAGCCTACTTGAATTACCTTCGTCCTGGTACCCAAAATCATTCCGTGTCCTGAATGCAAGTGATTTCAGTCGATAACAGAAGGCATGCCAAGGTCATCCATATCCTTTCGTGGAAGCTTAAATAAACCTCCGTGTCGCGTGACTGTGAGTCACGTGACCAAATGAAACGTAACCTATGTCACGTGACGCTATGGCACGTGCCCGACAGCGATCACGCAGCAGAACCAGATGAGTCTGCAGGACCTGTGTCGTGACATGAAGCAGAGCTTCAAGCAGAACAGCCTGGGGCTACAGACACGTCTCACCCGGCTGGACGACCGCATGTCCGCTGTCGAACGTATGCAGGTCAGTTCAAGGTCATGTTGAGAAAATGGTTCAATCTGACGTTGAGAGGTTGGCTTAAGATCACAATGTGATGTCATTTTTAAGCCGTGCGATTTAAGAATCATTGTCTTGACAATCGGTAAGTTCATGGCCATGAAAATCGCTCAGAAATTTGACACAGGATTGCGATACAAAGCCAGTAGAAGGTCATGATTAGATGTCACTAAATGCTGTGTCAAACGATTCAGTCAGGTGATTCCGAGGGCTCAGTGAGAGCGGTGTGAGTTGGGAGGTGACTAAGTGCATGAGGTCTACGCTGAGATGTCTGCTGTGTGACATGCTTGTCATCAAACCAGTGCATTTAAGCGAAGTAAAGGCTCGCGGTAAGAAAATCAAGACGTCAACCCGTTGTCAGTGCATTTGCAGCCACCGGGCTAGGAAATTTTGACGTTGGAACTCGGATATCCAATGACTTTAACGAACAGCTCGTGGCAACTTCACGCATCTGAGTCAAATACGCGCTCTTTTCTCACTGCTGATCACATTTCGCAACTGCCGTCAGTTCAATTCAATCACTTTGCCTATGCTAACTATGCTCCTACGTCGATGACAATTTTGTCTTTTTATGTGAATGGTCGTGCGGAGCTTTATTGTCACGGCTGCTCAAAAACGTGGGAGCCTTCAAGAGGTGGCCGAAACTCAACTCATGCTCTCTGCTCTTTTGCGGATTTGATAAAGCTCCTTCGACATGCGTTCACCCGTGCAAAACTTGTAATCCCTCACCAAAACCTGGGCTGGAATTTGTCCATGGGTGAGCCGTGTCTCTCCGATTTGGGGATAAGCTGGAGTCTTGGGCAGCTCTTGACATGCAAATAGCATGTGTATGTGGCAGCGCGCGACAAGCTTGCATTGCACACGACAAATGGAGAACATTTCATGTTGGGATAATTGGAGGGGGTGTACGTCCCCCTGTCCCCTCCCCTAGTGCTTCCTCCCCTGTTTGCATCCAAGGCTGAGGTCGTAAGGATAGCGTTGAGCCGACCCTGCTCCCCTCCCCTGCTCTCCCCTGCTCTCCTCCCCCTGCTCTCTCCCTGCTCTCACCTTTGCTCTGCTCTCCCCTCCTCCGGACCCAGCTCTCCCGCCGAGCTGTCCATCCCTGGGATACGTTGGCTTATGTTATCACCAGTATGAACATTCTCCAATGTTCATTGTACATGTACCTGTCACCGTGTAGACACGAGCCGCGCCTTCCGTTCCGATAGCTTCATTGGTGAATGCGCCTGCCTGCCGGATGACCCAGCCGTGGTGGGAAGGGTGCGAGCCGCTTCAGGCGTTCGTTTCTTGCCCTCTACTGGGTTGACCTGTCGCTGGTGTTAACGGAACGTCAGGTCTTCGCAGTCAAATCCTGCCGTTGACCCGAAATGTTGCGATCGGTTGGTTGATGCAACAAGCACTGCTTGGTGCGGTGCACTGATGTGTGTGCACTTCTCAGCGTCCCACTGTGAACACGTCCAGAAATCCATCCATTCAAAGGATTTGGACTAAATCTGTAGAAGAATGGTGTTGATGAATTGATCAAACACGTAAATCCCAAACAAAGGACATCAAAATAGACGCACACGCACACGCAGCTCACTGAAAAGTCTAAAAACATCAGCTGATTTGGAATAATTTCATCCATTTTTTTCATTATACATACACCCACACGGAAGGTCCCACCGAACGTTAAATAAGTGATGATAATGGTGATGATGATGATGATGATGATGATGGTGATGATGATGGTGATGATGATGATGATGATGACTGCGATAACTGCCCCGACGAGAGGCGAACCCGATATCGGACGTCATGCTGCTCGATGACGATAGTCCATACCAGTCACCGATTACCAGTCACCAGTCACCGGTTACCGGTAACCAGTGCCACGCGGCTTCCGGCGTTGGCACCGGTGTGTGGTAACCGATGGCATGTGAGACCGCACGGCCCCTGATGACCGCCGGCCGGCGCAGTTCCTCATCCGGAAACAGTCCGAAGAGATGCAGGATCTCAAGTTCCGCATGGTCGACGCGGAGAGACGGAACCAACAGGACCAGAAGAAGGTCATCGCCTATAGGAAGAAGGTGAAGGAGCTGCAGACCAGCTTGCGGGAGATGCAGATACGAGAGGTGGGTCAGGGTGGCGCGACCGCAGGGGGGGGGGGGGGGGCGCAGGCGAGAACGTGAACGTGTCTGAACGTGTCTGCGTGCGCGTGTCTGAGGAAATCACTGCTTGCTGTTTACTGAATGATTACTTCAGAGGTGTACGATGGTATTCGGTTGAAGAGGATTGAATCAAAAATTAAGTTCGAAGTTATTCAGTTAAAGGGGTCTCAGCCAAAAACTCGCCTGACTCGCGACACAGCCACTAGATTTGACAAGCATTCCTCCCGTTCTTTAAGCTTATCATACTGTACGTGTTACTCAAAGTTATTGGTGTACACTCACCAGTTACATCCCGTTTGCATTTTTCCAGCACTCCGTTCTAAATAACAAAAAGTTTGCAGGAAACTTTGCACCCACAGTTACTTTCGCGTTAATCTCTACCAAGGGATTGTGAACGAAGCTACTTATGAATACAAAGGAGAGCGGGCCGTAACGCTGTGGGCATTTCTCGGAGCACCTGCCCGAAGTTTCACGAAAGCCTTACTCATACCTTTGCACATACCCGCAATTTATCCATAATGTGTACCCAACCAGAACTGTTACTCACTCCATATGCATGATCATTGTTTACCACCGCTTGTGAATTCTTCTGTCTTCTCCAAAATTGGTGATGCCCAACTAGATGCTAGTCAAAAATCGCTGCAGTGTTCATCTTGATGGCTTTCATGGCGTACGTTTTTCTGGTAAGGTATATTACTGTCTTGCATTAGAGAACAGTTTTTAGCAACTGTCCTGGAGAAAGGAAACACGGAGGAGGGGTTTGCATCCTTCTTTTTTTGGGGGGGGGGGGACGGGAGAGATATGTCGATGCCCATGAAACGTATGCATTGTCCTTTCTCCACCTTCAGCTGAGGTTTCGGCATGTCTTTCCAAGAAACAGATCCTAAATCAGTTGAAACCTTTTATAAATTATACGGTAATTTTTACAAGTGAAAGGGGTGAGTGCGAACAGATCGCATGTCATAAAATGCATGGAATCTTTAATGGGCACGTGATCATCACTATGCCTCGGTTCTATGTCGAAATGCATGCTTAATAGCGGATTTGCTTCCTTTTCAGGCGGAGGATTTTTCGAGGGCCTTCTAGGGCCTGTGTTCAAAACGGCCTCTGCCCAATCACTGAACGCCATCACTTTCAGTCTCACAGCATTGAATTGTTTAGGTGATTTTTGTAGCAGTAATTTGCTTACGACACGCAATTGAATTTACGTGGCTACACACTCATTTGCCAATATGTCACGCTTGACGATATGCACGGCGATAACACATAGGCTAAAATGACGCCAAACCGCCGTATCAATGGCGAACTTGCGTATTGTTAGTTGTAAGTTGGAAGTTTAATATTAGCTGGAAGTTATGAAATTAGTGGACGTCATTAAATCCCGGAAATTGCTGAGTGCAGCTACTGGAATTCGAGTCATTACGATCGTTCATCTTTTGAGGTGGAAGGAGGGATCTAGCCTCATTGTTTCCATGTCTTTTCGTGGAGAACGAGGGCCGAACCTCACTGCTTCCTTGTCTTTTTGGGGGGATCTAACCTCATTGATCCCATGTGATTTGGGGGAGGAGAAGGGCCTAACCTCATTGTTTCCGTGTCTTTTGGGGGAGAAGAAGGGTCTAACTTCGTTGATCCCATGTGTTTTGGGGGAGGAGAAGGGCCTAACCTCATTGTTTCCGTGCCTTTTGGGGGATGAGAAGGGTCTAACCCCATTGTTCCCATGTCTTTTCGTGGAGAAGGAGGGTCTAACCCCATTGTTCCCGTGTCTTTTGGGGGCGGAGAAGGGCCTAGCCTCATCGTGTCCGTGCCGCGGCAGCCATAAGTTACCGTAATAGTTCAACACGTGCTACGTCGCTCTTTCGCTGGCTGCAGATATTTTGTCTTTGCCATACCTCACTGCTTCCTTGGTTTGATTTGGTTTGGACAAGAGCCCTTTCGGCCAGTAAAGGTCATTTCAGTGTCATGAGATGGAGGAAAGTGGACAGTGCTGGGGCAACCCTACATGCATCTGGAGGTCCCCCAACGATAATTAGCGCACACAGGGACTCCACACGGTGTATGTGCTCGGCGCTCAGATAGGGACTCCAACAGGGAATCACAACGTGAGTGGCTGGAGGAATAAAGGCTGTCAAACGCACGGCTGATCAGTTCCGGCCGCTGAGTGTGCGGTAACGGGACAGACAGACGGACAGACAGACAGACAGACAGACAGACAGACAGACAGACAGACAGACAGACAGACAGACAGACAGACAGACAGACAGACAGACAGACAGACAGACAGACAGACAGACAGACAGACAGACAGACAGACGACGTCCAGACCTGCTCGGACCACGGCCTAGACCGCAATCACAGCTGGCAATCACAGCTGGCAATCACAGCTGGCAGCCGTGCCGAGACTTGTGATGACAAAGGTGATTGGGGTTTCAAGGATTGGTAACTGGTGACGGAGTGCCTGATATGTGGGTAGCTGGCAGGTATGTGGCAGCAATGAGATAATACTCATGCCGTTTCACTCACCCATGGTCCTTTTCACCTCTCAGTATTTACCTGTTACCGGCCACCCAATCACAGTCATTCAACGACAAATCATTAGGTACTTCGCGTTCTTCTTACTGCAAACAGCGTTCGCGATCGTCGCACTTGTCGTGCTAGGCCCTACACACCAATTATCCAATCAAACCCATAATTAACGGTTGCTCATCAAAAACGTGAATCACCCAATCATAATCCGTGATCAGTGTGGCGCGTTCAACACACTGTAACACATTTACGCGCCCAGCACAGCATAACACCATAACGCGCTCAGCACAATAGAACGCAATAGCACGTTCAGCCATCGAATGGTCAGGGCCAAAATTGCTAGCCACGCTATCAACAATAATTTAATACAAATGCGCTGCTTAAACGTTTATAACAATCTCTATTTACGCCCTCGTCAGCCCCGATCTTCAATCTCGAGGAAACAAACGCTATTCGCCCTCACCGTTTCTATTCCGCAGTCGGTGAGAGACCGCGCCGAAAAAGAATTAGAGATGCGTGAGACCCGACGGGCGAAGCAGCAGCCGCCGTACACGCCGCCGCCGCAGGTCATCACCGTCCCGCAGCCCATGCCGATCTTCATGCCGAGCCAGGCGTACGGAGGCGGCCAGGCGTACAACGGCAGCGGACAGGACCCTAAGTACGCTCCGGTCACTGTTCGTCTGTGGAGGTGGACCCTGCAGGAGGTTTGGTGTGCTGCTGAAGCTGTGTTTAGGGTCGACAGTTGAAAGCACGACTGCGTTTCCTCTCTGTGGTGGGTGTGGTGAAAATTCCGTAAGATGCATCTTAACGGTTACATATAATTTGTATTTGAGTCACAGCGCTTATTCTGCCAGCTTCGCTGCGTACGTATTTCGATGGGCGGAGACAACAAGGGCAGTGATGCAATCCGTAGTTCTGTTAGCAATTCCAAAAAAAAAACTTTTCATAGAGCGTAAAAAATACTCGGTGCTCCGCTCTGCCCGTCCGTCATGCGGTGGCGGCCTAAGCCAGAGAGCACCGCCAGCACGGCCTGTCTTCTCCACAGTTATTACCAGCCAATGCCGGTGCAGCAATCCAGTTACCAGCAGCCGAACTACCAGCAGCCGAGCTACCAGCAGCAGGAGCCGCTGCCGGCGCTGCCGCCGCCAGCGCCATCTATCGTGGAGCTGCCGCCCGAGCAGCCGCCGCCTCCGCCGCCGCCGGCCTCCACCGCCGCGGCCAGCCGACGGGGCTCCGTGTTCTCCGTCAAGAGCTTCCGCAGCAAGAAGGGCGTCGAGGCGAAGTGACGTCGCGGTGTGGGAAGAGGTGGTGTTGGGAGACCTCGGTGACCGCCGGGGTGTCGCTGTCTGGGCTGGGTTATGAGCTGGGGAAACCGGAGCACGATAGTTTTGCTGGTCTCGTAAACGGACGTCGGTAGCCTTGCGCCCAACCCTGTCGCACTTGTAAAATAAGTAGCTCCCTTTGACATGAAAACAGTATTCGGCAATATTGAAGGGGTTCATGCTCTTGATGGCAGTTCATTTTCAATGTTGTATTTGCCTATATTAGTCCTCCAACAAGTGTTTGCACACCACTTGCATACCTTACTACGAATGTCGTCGAAATAAGGCCTCTGAGTCTTATGAATTATCACTGGTTGTCGTGCTGGCCTCAACACAACACTTTGTTGTAAACTCTGCGTGCTTGCTCAGTATTTACCAGGTGTGTTTAGGTGCTGATTGCTGATTAATTGGCTTTGTTTTCTGCCGTTCGTGGTCTAACTTCGAAGGTTACTTCATCGACACCATTCGCCGACCGTCACCTTTTTAACAACAGCAGACGTTGGCTAGATTGTAGATGTCCCTCGAAGAGTGAGAACATCGCGTTGCGATGTTTTGTTTTGCTTAATCCTGTCTATTATGGGATTGTTAGTGTTGCATGGCGTGATCGGCTTTGGGGTCCCAGGTACCTATTGTATTTACGCAAAGAACTGCGTAACGTTACGGTTCTAACACGTGCTGTGGAGCGATAAACCATCTGAATACCCGTGTGCATGAAAAACGTTTGCTTTCTCCTGCCTTTCCCTGACCTTGTTCAGATCGCAAATAAACTTGGCGACGACGAGCCTGCATCCGATTCAGTTTCATCCACGCCCGCTTCGCAAGAGGGCTTCAAAACGGTCCGACAGCAAGCAAACCGAATGTCAGGTGATGGCGTTGGAGCTACCAGCCAGCTAGCTGGTGGCATCAAATAGTGTAGTGTGCAACATGCGTAGCGAGGGGTGCGACACGGCAAAGCCTGCATTCAGACCGGCGATGCCTGCTAGTGATAGGTCTACAGCTGTTCAGGCGTTGCCGCGCGGCCGCCTTGTTGAAGCACGTTGCAGCAGTAACTCACGATGACATTTATTGTCACTCACCTATAAATATCTTACATATCGTTCTGCTTAGCCAACCACAGCAGAACGTTGTGTTTTTTTCTCTATAAATTTATTCCGAATGGTTTGCATGGGTGACTGAGCCCATAACACCCACCAAGCATAGCTTGTTGTGTGTACCTTGGACCCACCACCCAAGTCGTGCCACCCAGCCCAGCGGATAATTTTGCCTCTGCCCTTGCGCCAGACAGGAATGCGGAGGTTTCAACCTGCCACACAATGCTGCGACGCGACCGCTCCGGGCCAGGGCTGGACCTCGTTGGCCAGTTGCCAGCCGACCTTTTCATTTCAGCCGGGCGAAACAATGCGCCCGCTTTGGTACACGTACCCCGTGCCGTCCGGATTACGAGTTCAGCATCTTTCCCCCAGACCACGGTGTTGAGACAACTGTCGGACTTGGCTTGTTATTCCGCGTGGGAGCACATCATAAACCAACACTATGCAATCAAAGCCTACTGAGCAGAGCCAAGTCGTGCCATCACAGCGTACTGAGCAGCGGCAAGCCATGCCATCACAGTATACTGGGCTGTTGCTAAAAAAGGATTACAATGTTTACGTTGCTGACGTCCTGCAACGGAGCGAAATGGGGGGGGGGGGGGGAAGGGGATACCGGGACCTGTACCCCGGCATCAAATTGCCACATGTATGGGATGAGATTCACTGTAGGCGATTATGGCGATTATATATTGCTGCATGAGAATCATTGTAGGCGATTAAAAAATCGGGATCACATCGGGAGAAAATTGGGAAATAGCCACCTAAAAATAGATACATTGTATGAATGTCATGCCTTTACAGCTTGAAAAAACGGTTGCGCGCCATATTATTTTTCATTTTAATTAAATTTAAGCGTACCTGGCTCGCTGAAACTTTGTTCATCGATCGCAGACTTTTAGCCCAAATTTGGGATAATAGGCAATAGGGAAATCCGACTTCCGTCAAAGACAGAAACAGCACTTGTTTGGCGAGGTTACGGGCCGTTGCACTGAGATACGAATGCGGAACCCACGGTGTGCTGCATTCTGCAATGTCCGGGTTGACGTGTTGCACCATATATGTTAAATAAAGAGCAGGCTGATCAGAAAAAAACGCAGGCTGCGATTTACGTCCACATTCCAAGCATCATAAATATCGTTGTTTGCAGGATAATGCAGATCAGTCCATTCGCCAACGTTCAGTGAGAAACGCCGATGCTTACGGTGCGGCGACTTGGCCGAGGCGCAACTCCACTCTCAACTCGACTCCACTCCAACTGAGCGTTTTAGAAGGGTGTGTCCGCCCACGGACGGAGAACTCACCAATTTCTTCCGTTCAGCCTCAGCCATATACCCCCCCCCCCCCCACCCCCTTCACACACGCACACAACTGTCCCTCAGAAATGACGTAGGAAGGAAGGCGTGAGCTGCGCATGGCGCAACCGGGGTTTGAACCCGCCCCCCCCCTCCCCCTCCCCCAAGCGGGAGCTGAAGGCGTTGACCACATTTCGCCTTGTATTACTTTTGCTGACAATCATCGCCACCTTGAAGGGAAAATTCAGCTCGTTTTACTGTCCGCTAGAGGTATTACCGGGTTAGATTTCCTATAGCCAATCTATCTACTACCCATAGGGCTGTGGCCATACCTACCCGCTACCCAACCGTTTTTGCTTATTGGAATATTTTAATTCTAATTTATGTAAAAGCCTGAGGAATGTTTACACAAAATTTTATCATTCTGTTCATAGTTGCAGACGCAGAGTTAATTGACGTACATACGACTGCATTTTCGTTACTAGTTACATCGGCTTCGAACGTGGTCACATAACCAATGCGAAATGAATCGCGCCGATGAGTTTTTCCATACAGTCATTTGACGCCCCCTTTCTTCTCCTTTCGTTCTCGGACTTCAAGACACAAAAACATGATTTCATTTTACGGTAGCTTCTGGCTTCTTTTCCCAGAAAAAAATTGAATATGGACAATGTCCGTTGATTTTTGGGGGGCACTTTCATCATCAGGGGGGTCTTTGCCAACCCTCTGCCTCCTCCCTTTACCACGACTCTGGCTGCGCCGCTGGTCGTAAAAAGTCGTGTCCGTGCTAACGGAAGCGCATTTGTGTTGATACATCTTCAGGGCGCTAAGTTGGCGGACTTTTGCGTCCGGATCTCACGTTGGCCACGAGAGGGAATGCCCACGGGTCCGCTCGTCTCCAACGAGCCAGAGTTGTCCACAAGGCGGTTTTTCGTTACTCTCAGCTTATTCTGCCCTCAGTCGGCAAACTAGGCTACCAACGCGCAGTGAGAATGTATTCACGTGCATTTGAACAGACAACGGCCACTGTGCGGTCGCACAGTTGCTGAGCACACAGCAGTAAGTGTTTTGATTGAGCACAAACTGGCCGACGGAACATCGGCGAGGGTGGGGAGTCGAGTTCCGCGCGCAACGTCGTCCGCCTCGCTCAGTCCCGCCCGAGAGGCCGATGGGGCGCAGACGGGCGCGAACTCTAGACGAGGCGGCCAGGTCCGCCATGGTATTCAGTGCACTGAAAACGGAGTGACGACGTCCGTTAAATATCACCGACTACCTGGGCGAAAGTGAAGTGCGCACAATGGTACTTTATATAAAATTGAAAATATATGATGACATATGTATATATATATATATATATATATATATATATATATTATATATATATATATATATATATATATATATATGTGTGTGCTTTATATAGGCCACTTGAAAATGTAGATTGCATGTGATAAACAATGCATCAAACGAAACACAATTGACTAATAAACATCAAATGCTGCCATACGCAAAACAGAAAAGCCGTCACAAACACGGGAAACAGAACGACAATTCAGCACATACGAGAACACATATCCAAAATACAGCAGAAACGGGGACACAGATTTACAACGTATCTTTCAAAACTAATAACATTTGTCCTGCCTTGAAGTTTGTTATCGTTTTGTGTGGAGATCCAGCTGCATTTTTTGCAACGGAAACTGGAAAAGTGCCTGGAAAACACACGGAGTGCTGTATGGGCAAAGAAAGTTAGGTCACAAGCAGCTGATATAGCTGATGTATTTGGAAACCAATACGCATTTTAAGGACAATACCTTTTCAACCTTAGAACTATTGAGCAGATGATGCTGGACCCGACAGAACTAAACGTATCCCGCAACGCATCATCTCAAAGTGCCAAACTTGCCACCTATGTGTCTTACCATAGCCGTAGGCCGGGGAAGCGTAGCCATAGGCCGGGGCACCGTATCCATAGGCCGGGGCAGCGTAGCCATAGGCCGGAGCAGCGTAGGTCTTAGCGACGACGGCCGGCGCAGCATATCTGTGAGCGGGGACGACGTAGCTCCTGGCCACCACGGCCGGCGCGGCATAGGCATGAGCGTGGTACCTGGGGAGCGACCGGCGTACCTGCGTAACGCGTAACTGAGAAACGACAAAGTGACGCGATCCAACACGGACATCCGGAAGCGCACGCTTGACCACGATGCTGCGGAGCTGCGTCACCGCCTGCCAACAACAGTGTAACCGAAGCACGAGTCGCGCTTCGAGGCCAGCCCAGTTCACCGTCTGCTCGGTGACGATCAGCATGGGCTGCAGTGTTCGTTAAACCGGGTGAGACCACGCACCAATGCCCACAGGCCCGGTTCTGACCCCGCTCGAGGAGTGCACTGCGCCGCCAACCGCGGGCAAACGCAGCCGCTCGACCCCACGTCGTCACCGTACCACACGTCACCACGTCACCGTACCACACGTCACCACGTTACCGTACCCGTACGCCAGCGGAGTCGCCACCGTGTGCTTCTCCACCGCCACGGCATGGGTGACGCCGCTGCTGTAGCCGCTGACGGCCCGCGGCACCACGTACGACCGCGACAGCACCGCCGGCGCCGCGTAGCCGTAGCCGGCGCCGTAGCCGACGCCGGCGTTGACCGAGGCGACAGAGGCGCACAGGGCGACCACGATCAGCTGTCGGAGTGCATCAGTGACGTCAAAGGCTCTGTCGGTCGGAACTGGGAGGTCACGGCAGAGTACTGCTCATGGCAGGAAGCGTTAACAGAAGTCGTTGGCATAAAGGCCGTTCGGTCACGCCGTTTTGTCGGTTCCATTCCCCTGTGGACGTCTTTACATGGTTACGTACTGTTACGGTGCTCAGAAACCCCCACCCTGGATGCACTGTGCGAAGTGCAACAGTCCAAAAAGTTAGCGTTTATTTGGCCCCCAATGGAGCTAGAGGTGGGCTAAAAAGTCTGCCGTCCTGGTCACCATAACAAAAGGCCGTATACCGGACCTTTAAGGTTTTAAGACGTCAAAAAAGCTTATGGCATGACTTCCAGCGACACACGAGCGCGACATTGCTCTGCTCAATCTGTCTGCATCTTGGTACGCGTTTAGCACCCTCCATCATAGCCCTTATATATATATCCCTGCATAACGTAACAGATGAACAACTCCGAACGGACTTTGGCTCTTGCATGTTGACCGCTTTTGCATAAGCGAAGGCAAAAGGCAGACATAGACAAGTTGAGCCTGCATACGTGCTTGGCAAAAATACGTGAAGACCGATGCAGTCATCGGAAAAGGTGAACAAACTTTGTAGAAAAAGAGCAGACGAGCAAGTTGAGGGGCGCGTTCGCCAAACCCGGGCGGGCCGCACTGGGTCGGCTTACCTTGAAGGCCAT